TTTTTTTTTTTTTTTTTTGCGGTACGCAGGCCTCTCACTGTTGTGGCCTCTCCTGTTGCGGAGCACAGGCTCCGGACGCGCAGGCTCAGTGGCCATGGCTCACAGGCCCAGCCGCTCCGCGGCATGTGGGATCCTCCCAGACCGGGGCACCAACCCGTGTCCCCTGCATCAGCAGACGGACTCTCAACCACTGCGCCACCAGGGAAGCCCCCATTTTCTTTTTTTAAAATTTATTTATCTTTATTGAAGTATAGTTGATTTAAAATGTTATGTTAGTTTCAGGTGTACAGCAAAGTGATTCTGTATATATATTCTTTTTTGGATTCTTTTCCCATATAGGATATTACAGAATATTGAGTAGAGTTCCCTGTGCTATACAGTAAGTCCTTGTTGTTTATCTATTTTATATATATATATATATATATTATATATATATATATATATATAAAGTACTGTGTATATGTTACTCCCATTCCTAACTTATCCCTCCCCCTAGCCTTTCCCCTTTAGTAACCATAAGTTTGTTTTCTATCTGTGAGTCTGTTTCTGTTTTGTAAATAAGTTCATTTGTATCATTTTTTTAGATTCCACATGGAAGTGATATCATATGATGTTTCCCTTTCTCTGTCTGATTTACTTCACTTAGTATGATAATCACGCTGCTGCAAATGGCATTATTTCATTCTTTTCTATGGCTGATGGTCCATTGTGGAATCTTCATTTTAAACAGTTACCCCTGGTGAGCCTGACGCAGGTGGTCCACAGATGAGAAACGCTGGAGGGAACCGCCGGTCCCGGCCCTGCTTCCTGCCTATCCCTGTCCTGTTGCCCACAGCAGCCCTGGTGACCACAGGAAGAGCTGTCAAGAGCCACAGGCACAGAAAACCGTCAAGGTGCCATGCCTAGGTCCCAGAGTCAAGATGTCACGGGTCGCAGATGGACGCAGAGAGCAGCTCCATTCCTAAAGACTAGTGCTGGGCACATCTGCCGCAGCCAGGCTCTGAGTCCATATATAGGGAGCTCCTGAAAGCAGGCCACCCCAGATGGAGTTCACGATCCAGGTGAGCAGCTCCTGGCACAGTGATGGAGCGGGAGAAAGAAGCAGACATGATCATGGTGCCATCTGAGGGAACATTTTACCTGGGCCACTGAAATGGACAAATAACCTTCAAAAGCTCCTTTAGACCCTGAGGACACATGACGCTAGATGAATCAGTCTGTGTTAATAAAATAGGAAACTGAAAACATCCAGAGTATCTACAGAGCTACAGTATCTCTGACAGAACATAGAGAGTTAGAGTAGCCTGTATAACTCCCAGAGCACCTTGCCTGCATCACCCTTATTGTGGATTAATTGCTAGCTGTCTGATTCTCCACTGGACCACCAACTCTGTTGCAGCTCTGTCCCCAGCTCCTGGCCCACTGTCCCATACATAATAAGGACTGACCTGTATAAAGTATTTAGTGTGTGCAGGCCCCATTCTAAACCCTTCACTCATGTTGTCTCTTTAATTCTCATTACAACCTTATGGAGATAGGTACCATCATAATGCCTGTTTTACATATGGGGCAACTGAGGCCAAAGATGGTTGAATAACTTGTCCAGGGTCACACAGCTAGTAAGTGGCAGAGCCAGGAATGGACCCAGATGGCTCAACTCTCAGGGTCTCTGCTTTTAACTATTAAGCCATGCTGGCACTTAGCAAGTGCTCAATAAAATATTTATTGGTTTGAAAACACTCCCGAAGTGTTTTCAGTGAGTTTAACTGAGAATTATGTAGACATCACCCAATATATGAAAACAAAAAAGTTGAGCCAAGTACAAAATAAGCTAATATCCTGTGTTTTCTGCAAGAGACAAGCTTAATTAGAGTTTAGGTAATTAAAGCTTTCATGGTTTCTAAAAAAAAATACAATACATTCATTTATGCAAATCTACTCTGGAGCATGATTTTTGAAAAATACTATGTAACTCGCTTCTCACAGAAAATGACTTAAGAGTCTCCCTGAGAAGTGAGCGTCTCGGGATGTGGCTGTTGCCCGTGCCTGTGTTAGTCTGTAGACCCCTATTCTAGAGCCGGTGGTTCCAACCAATCACCCCAGCTCCCAGCACTGCGAGAGGCAGGCTGTTCCTCGGGAAGGGGCTGGCGTGGCAAGAAGGGGTCCTGCCAGCTGGTCCTGGAAATGATGCCCACCTGTACGTTCTACCCAGCCTTCTCCTACCAGCCCTATTGGCCACAACTTCCAAACTTGCTTCTCTCTCCAAGATCGTCCTTGCTGTTCATTTCAGCTGGAGGTAACTCATCAGAATTAAAATATCGACCGGGGGAGGAAAAGACAAGGCGATTTTTCCCAGGCCGGTTCAGGTGAGCGGTTGTGAGGTTTCCAAGAGTTCATGCACGTGAAAGGATTCTAATTCCTGAGCCCCACAGAAGTGCAGGGGATTGCTATTATCACCACCTACCAGCAATCAGACACCGAGGTGGATAACAGCGGCAAGGTTATTGGGCAGTCCGTGTCAGGTGAAGTTAGGAACTTATATGTAATCACTATTGATCCTTCCAACCAGCAACTGAGGTAGGTCCTATTAGCCTCTGTTTTATAGATGAAGAAACTGAGACTCAGAAAAGTTCATCAACAGGCCCAAGATAGGGCTTCCCTGGTGGTGCAGTGGTTGAGAGTCTGCCAGCCGATGCAGGGAACATGGGTTCGTGCCCCGGTCCGGGAAGATCCCACATGCCGCGGAGCAGCTGGGCCCGTGAGCCATAGCCGCTGAGCCTGCGCGTCCGGAGCCTGTCCTCCGCAACGGGAGAGGCTACAACAGTGAGAAGCCCGCGTACCAAAAAAAAAAAAAAAAAAAAAAATCAAGTAATCAGCTCAATAGATGCAGAAAAAGCATTTGAAAAAAAATCAATAATCCTTCACGATAAAAATGCCCAGAAAACTAAGAATAGAAGTGAACTTCTTAAAATTGACAAAGGGCAATTCTGAAATAAAACTACAGCTATCAACATACTTTATGGTGAAAGATTGAATGATTTCCCCTGAGACAGGGAACAATGAAAAGATAACTGCTCTTAACCCATCAATTAAATGAGCAGGAGTGTGTGTGTGTGTGTGATGGTGATAAAATTCACCACTGTAATTTTAGAGTGTACAATTCAGTGCATTCACAATACTGTGTAACCATCACCACTATGTAGTTCCAGAATTTCTCATCACCACAAAAGGAAACCCTGTGCTCCCCATTCTCTGCTCCCTCCAGCCCTAGGCAACCACTAATCTAATATCTGTCTCTATGGATTTGCCTCTTCTGGCTATTTCCTATAAATAGAATCATACAATATGTGGCCTCTTTCACTGAGTATAATGTTTTCAAAGTTCACCCATGTGGGGACATATATCGGTACTTCATTCCTTTTTATGGCCGAACAATATTCCACTGTATGGAGAGACCACATTTTGCTTATCCAGTCATGTGTTGAGGGACAGGTGTGTGTATTTTAACAGAAAGATGGCCTTTATCCTCAAGGAATGAATCTCTATGGTGGGATTTCAAGCATAACATCAAACTGGAGATAAGAGAGTTGGCAGCAAGGGCCTTTCTTAGAACTTTCAAGTCACAATTCAGAAATCACTTGTTCTGGGACTAGCTCTGTGGGAGTGGCAATGAGGCGGGATGTCTAATGGTACATGCTCCCCACAGGTGTCAAGGCTTCCAAACCACTTCTGCCTGGTAGGGAGGTTACTACAGGACGGCATCTGGCAGGCTCTTGGAATCAAAGCTTACATCTCAGGCTACTCACCCTCCATTTCACTGGGGGAGGACATGTTGTAAGAATAACTAGGTTTCCACACACAGGCTGTTTGCACAAGCATAAAGGAAGGGAGGATCTGAGTGCTCCCCTGGATAGTTTAATCCCCACGTCAGCCCAACTGCTGTCTTGGGTTCTCTCCATAACATATATACACACAAAAAATTAATTACGCAACTTCTAATAATGCACCAAATAGGTCTTCTTAAAGGCAGTTAAATCAGTCCAGTTTGAAAACGTCTGGCTGGGCCAAGCTTTCTTTGTGAGGCTAAGTACTGTAGTGGTTCAGAACAAAGGCTTTAGAATCAGGTAGACCTACATTCAAATAGTGCCTCTGCTACCATTAGCTCTGGGAATTTAAACAGGAGATACAACCTCAATTTCTTCACCTATAAACTGGGAACAGTAGTTAACAGTACCAAACTCAGTGCATTCTTACCACCATATCTGAAGAATGCAGCATGGTGCCTAGGAGAAGCAATTTTTAATGTGATTATTAAAAATCACTGTCATCAACGTTTACTGAGATTTTATGAGAGGACAGACTAAGGATCGCAACTGCCAACTCTACGTTATTCGATACAATTAAACCATGAGCTTAAATGGTTCAAATTTATCCCATCATCTTACATTCCTATAGATTTCATCCAGTAGCTGAATTTGGGGGAGGAAAAGAAAAAGGACCCACACAAAACTTTCCCAGTTGAAGACATTTTTATTTCGGTACGCACCTGAGTCCCTGGCAGGATGGGCCTGTCCTCCGCGGGAGGACATGTCCTCCCCCTGCTTTGGGAGAGGATGGGGGCCCTGCCCTGAGGGGGCAGCTGGGGGATGAGGCAAAGGGCTGTGTGACAGTGATAGGTCACAAAGGGCACCAGAGGATAAACAGGCTGTGCCAGGGGGTTAGGCTGAGAAGGTGGTCACTTCTCTCACTAGGACTGAAGTTCACCACAGCCTCTTGGGGAGATAAAAACCCAGAAGCAGAAGTGAGGGGAGGCAGAGGGGGAGCCTACCATACCTCTCTACACACTTGAAGAGATTCAGCCTGGGGTTCAGGCGCCCTACAGCGTCCCCGCTGTGATCATCTGTGCCCCTACCCACGCCCCTGCCTCTGGGAGACCCTGAGGCAAAGGTGGGGCCTGTGGGGCAGGCTTGGAAGACCTGCCATAGGGCTACCTGTGTGTGACGAAAGAGCACCGCAGCTCGCTCTTCTGCCAGTGAGGCCGCAGGAGGGAAGAGCCAGGGGCCCACCTTAACCGCGCTGCCTGTCGTGATCAAAGGCAGCCATGAGTGGGGACTCTCTGCTCCCGTATCACATGGCCCAGAGCAGCACCGGGGTGGGCCTGTTCAACACCACCATGGGGAAGCTGCAGCAGCAACTGCGCAAGGGCGAATACCACATATTCAAGGAAGCACCGGTATTCGAGAGCGACTTTATCCAGATCACGAAGAGGGGAGACCTGATTGACGTGCACAACTGTGTCTGCACGGTGACCGTGGGCATCACATCCAGCAGCCCCGTCCACCCACTCCCAGACACCATGCTGCTGGCCCGATGGGCCACCGGCTGTGAAAAGCACGCTGAGCACAGCCAGGCCGCCAAGGGCAAGAGCCACGAGGCTGCAAAGACCTTAGAGCTCACCAGGCTCCTGCCCTTGACGCTCGTGAGCATCTCCACTCACAATCGCGAGAAACAACAGCTGCGCGTGAAGTTTGCCACTGGCCGCTCCTGGTACCTGCAGCTGTGTGCCCCTCTGGACGTGCAGGAAGACCTCTTCACCTCTTGGGAAGAGCTGATTTACCTCCTGCGACCACCAGTGGAGGGTCTCAGCTGCACCTACGCCGTTCCAGCCTGGGACATGATCGGCCTGCCTGTGTTCGAGGAGGAGGACGACGGCAGGAGCCCGGCAGTGGAGGATTTCCAAGGAAAGTGGGATCAGGACCAGGTGAGCATCTGCAGCCTCCACTCGTGCTCTGAGCTGGCCGGGGCCACGTCCGCAGCTTTTGCTGGTGGGGAGGGGATCCAACTGGACTTCCACAAGCCCGATACCATGCCCGGTGTGGCCACTGCAAAAGCAAAACCTACAGTGCTTGACAAAGCGTCAGCATCGCGGGCAACGACAAAGGTGGAGACAGCGGGGGTGGCAGGAGGCACCGCAGCGGGTGCTTTGAGCGTGGCAGTGATCAAGTCTCCTGCCCCTGAAGGGCAAAGCACGGCCACAGCAGCCACAGCCAGCAACGGTCCAGGAGGAAGCAAAACCAGCATAGCCACTGGGGGCACTGCCAGAACATCCCTGAGGAGCAGGAAAACGGTGCTGCGAACATGTCAGGGTATGCTTGGCAGGTGCCGCGAGCTCTTCAGGGTGTGCTTCCAGCACGCCCACCAGCCTCTCCCCAGAGGCCGGCGTGACTGTGGTCGGAGCAGAACCCACCGGCAAGACTGCTGAAGGAAGAGCCGACGAGGAGGGCGAGGGGACCCTCATCTCCACCTTGCCACAGGAAGGCAAAGTGAGTGAACAGGATGGCAGCTCACAGAGGGTGTCCCAGGCCCGCAAGGCAAGAAGGGAGAGAAGGGAGCACTGGGGAGAGGACAGAGCTCTTACGAGCCCCTCGCTCTGCAGTTCAGTGGAAAGCCACCACAAGGCAGCGGGGAACAAGACCATCCAGAAAGCAGCTGGCCCGTGCTCAGGCGGCCGCAGAGCCGCTAGAGATGACCAAAAGGACAAAGGCCACGGCAGCCCAGGGGCAGCGAGCAGGGCACTGCTCACAAAGGCATCAGCCGTGCTCCCATCACCACCGAGTCCAGGACCTCGCACAAATCGGGCAGGAGCTTATCTACAGCGAGTGCAGGTCCCACCACCGAGAGACTCAGCAGGATCAGCTCTTTCTTCAGGAACGTCAGAGCCAGTCTCACTGCAAAGACAGTGGCCTCCTCACGCGATAAATATGTGAGCATCCTGGCGAAGCCAGTGGAAGGGACCCGAATGGAGGCCGTCGTAGAGACAGCAGAGAGTGGCCAGGGGCTGGAGATCACTGGAGGTGTGACATCTGACACCATGGAGCCAGTGACCGCTGAAGCCCATCAATAGGACCTAGAGCTGGGAGCTGCAAAGGGGACCAGGGCTCAGGGAAATACCCCTGGAGAGCCCATTTCAGCTTCCTCACTGCAATTTCAATAAAAAAACAAACAATCTGAGAATGCATGCAGTGTTTTGTCTGAATTTCTAGGTCCCAAAGCCCAGCCGTAGCCTCACAGTGGATTCTGTGATGTCAGATGTGCCACAGTCTGACACCCAGTGTCCAGTCAAGGCCAGCCCCACCTCACACACATGCTCAGCGCCAACAGCAGTGCTGCATCTGGCCTCCACTCCTTTCTGGCTTTGCCCCCCAGGGCCATGGCTCAAAGTCAGACTATGGTCTGGGAAGCTCTCCTTCACTATCCCCCTATGCTTTTTATAAACGCTTATTCCCCAGGAAGGTCTGTAAACATAGCAAGAACAGGACTCATGTCCCCTCGGGCTATTCAGTGGACAGAAATAAGTATTAGCTAGCAATCAGAACCGCAAGCACTCTCATCTAGACTTAGCCGTTCCCTGCCCAGGTATTAGCTCGCAATCAGAACAGCAAGTATTAGCTAGTGTGCCATCGTAAGCATACCACTCGATGACATTTCACAAGATAAGCAACCCCACGAAACTAGCACCTGGCGAAGAATCAGAACATCACTGCAACTCTGGAAGTGCCCCCTTGCAGACACTCAAGGGTAACCACCACCCTAGCTTCCAACACCATAGATGAATGTTGTTTGCTTTTCAACTTTACATACTGGAATCACGTAGTATGTACTCTTTGACTCTGGTTTCTTTCCCTTAACATTATATTTATGAGGTCTGTGCATGACTTTCCTGGCGATCGTCCATTTATTTTCACTGCTATACAGTATTCCAGTGTGTGATGATACTACAACTTATTTTGTTATTGATATGTTATCAGTTTGGGGCTATTAAAAATAGTGCTATTATGAACATTTATATACAGATCTGTTGGTAAAAATATACATAAACTTCTGTTCGGCATAGACATAGGAATGGAATTGAATATATGCATATGTTCAGCTTCTGATTATACTGCCAAGCTATTTTCCTTCCAAAATGACTATGGAAACAATAATTCCCACCAGGAATGTATTAAAGTCCTGGTTGTTTCACATCCTTGCCAACATTTGATACTGTTTAGCTCTTTCCATTTAGCCATTCAGGTGGGATATAGTGACTTTTCTCCCTTTTTCATGATAAAAATATACTGAAAAATATATAATTGGGCTTCCCTGGTGGCGCAGTGGTTGAGAGTCCGCCTGCCGATGCAGGGGACACGGATTCGTGCCCCGGTCCGGGAGGATCCCACATGCCGCGGAGTGGCTGGGCCCGTGAGCCATGGCCGCTGAGCCTGCGCATCTGGAGCCTGTGCTCCGCAACGGGAGAGGCCACAACAGTGAGAGGCCTGTGTACCGCAAAAAAAAAACCATTCCAACTCTTTAATTAATTCAGCTGTCCTTTCCTGGGTCTTCTCCAGCTCCATTATGTCATTCTTAAGAAGCAATAGCCAATATGGCACAGGATTTTCCAGGTGTCCACTTTTGGGAAATCTGATTTCTAACTCTCAGAGGCAGCTCTCTCTCAATCTCTCTCTCTCTCTTTCTCTTTCTCTCTCTCTCACGCGTGTGTGCGCGCGCACACACACACACACACACACACACACACACACACTCAGCCACATCTGCCGCAGAAGTGTCCATCCTATTTACCAGGACCCCTACCTGCTCTCTTGTTGATAAAAGAGAATACTCTACTCGCACCCAGATCAAAATATCACACTACCATCTAGCTGCACGTGCATATGATGAAAAGAAAGAGCAAGGTCAGTTCTGATTGCAAAGCTGTAAAACTGATCTCTGATTTATTTTCCATCCACACGTGATCCTAGAGATACAGGACTTTAATTAAGGAGAGAGGAAGAGAGAGAGAGAAAACACAAAGGAGAAAAACTATGAGCCATAACCATCGCCAAGCTTGCTGCAAGGGAAAAGACTCCAGGATCAAGGTTTAGCCAGGCAGAAGGAAGCAACATGCCATCCCATAACTTTTGCTGGAGGTCTAAGTCCACACCTCCCAAGCTGCCCAGTTCTCAAACCTGTGGGGACTTCGGAGAGTACTCAGACCACCCAGAGTTCCTCCAGGAGTCGGGTGAGGATTTGAGGAAGGGTGGGTAGAGAGCCACAGCCCTCAACATGTGAACAGTCTAACAACCAACATAAATGTTTATATTTCCCATGATGAGATCCTCTGTCTTTGGGGAGAGAAATGTTAATAATACCACGTTTTATCATGCGCTCATGGCCCTGTCAAGTTTGATCGTTACTGCCAGGTCCCGCAGCACAGCTGACTCTAAGCAACTTTACTATAAGGGACAAAAGGCCTGTTTTCCAATTTTATTTCTGAAATATTGAAATACACCAAAGCAAACTGTTTTGTTTCCCATGTGGTCTGTGTTTTTGTGTTTGAGGAGGTTTTCAGGTTTTACAAATTTTAGTTCAAATAAGAAGTGACTGCAGGGGACTTCCCTGGCAGTCCAGTGGTTAGGACTCCATGCTTTCCCTGCCGAGGGCCCAGGTTCGATCCCTGGTCCGGGAACTAAGTTCCTGCAAGCTGTGCAGTGCAGCCAAAAAACAAAAAGTGACTGTAAATTCTCTGAGAGAGTCCCCTTCTGCTCTTTGGGACCTATTTGCCGATCTATGATTGGCCCTAAGAGTCTGATGACCCTTAGCATTGACTGCAGGCTGAGTTCGGCCTGCTGAAACTATTGTAAGCCAGAAAAGTACAGAAACCTGGGGAAACTTTTCCCTGGGGCAGGGAAAGCAGGCTTGTCACATAAGCACCTTGACAATAAGCTCAGGTATCATAGGGTCTACAACCACCCTACTTCCCTTTGCTGCCCCGGATCAGCCCAGTAGTGATGTGTTACCCTCCTCCACGTCAGTCCTGGTGGTGACCAGTGGCACAGGGGATGGACAAGAGGGTTAGAGGGAAAATACATCCACAAGACCTGCATATAGTTAATAAAAATGTATAAATTTTAAAAATAGGTACTTAGCCTTTCCTAAGCTAATAGGACATGTGTTAGAAAAGAGTAATGAGGACAACAGGATAGTTGCCAAAGAAAACCAAAGCCATCTTTAACCCTAATTTGAGAAAGAGACCCTAAGAATGAAGACTAGTGTGTGCTGGTGTTACTTCTTTTTTCTCACAGCCCTTCAACAAATTCAGTCACCCATTCACTCATTCATTCAATTCAAGGAGCACTTATTAGGCACTTATCTGTGCCAAACATTGTGCTGAGAGCTTTACAGACATTATCTCATTTCATCCTTTCACAAACCTGCCCAATAGGATTTGTTGTTATACAGAGGAGGGAGAGAAGCAAGGACATATGGCTTTTCATTCTACCCAGAAGAACTACAGAGCCACTTAGAAGAGCTATAGTCTGTTCTTGCTACATCAGTTAGGAATACTTCAGCTGCAAGTTGCAGACAAACCTGCTCCAAATGCCTTAAACAATACGGGAATTTATTATTTCTCACAGCAGAGCATCCAAAGACAGGGTGCGCTCAGGATGGGGGGATTCAGCACCTTAATAGTGCCAAGTCCTATGTTCTTTACATCTTTTACCTGCCATCCTGCGTGTCAGCATCATCCTCAAGATGACAGAAAAACAGCTGCCATATTCAGATAGTTTTTCTTTTAAGGGCAAGGACAATGTCTGTAGAAGCACCTTTGGAAGAATTCTTTCATGTCTCCTAGGCCAGAATCAGGTCACATGCCCTTTCCAAATCCCATCACCTGCAAGGCGAACAAAAACAACCATGAAGGGGCTTCCCTGGTGGCGCAGTGGTTGAGAGTCCACCTGCCGATGCAGGGGACACGGGTTCGTGCCCCGGTCTGGGAAGATCCCACATGCCACGGAGCGGCTGGGCCCGTGAGCCATGGCCGCTGAGCCTGCGCGTCCGGAGCCTGTGCTCCGCAACGGGAGAGGCCACAGCAGTGAGAGGCCCGCGTACCTCAAAACAAAAAGAACAACCATGAAGATGAAGAAGAAGAGGAAGAGTTAGATGGAGGGTGTTTATTATCACACCCCTCAGTGTTATTTTCATCTGGTACAAGTAGTTTCCAGAGTGATAGCTGGAAACATCAGTGAAATCGTCTGGGATGCTTTAGAAAACGTCAGTCTCTGGGGCTTTTCCTCAGAATCTCTGGAGTCCAGAAATGTATATATTTTTTAAATTTATTTTATTCAAGTACAGTTGATTTACCATGTGTTAATTTCTGCTGTACAGCAAAGTGATTCAGTTACACATATATACATTCTTTTTCATATTCTTTTCCATTATGGTTTATCACAGGATATTGAATGTAGTTCACTGTCCTATACAGTAGGACCCTGTTGCTTATACATTCTACATACAATAGATGGCACCTGCTAATCCCAAACGCCCAATCCATCCCTCCCCCACCCCCTCCCCCTTGGCAACTACAAGTCTGTTCTCTATGTTTGTGAGTCTATTTTGTAGATAAGCTCACTAGTGTCATATTTTCGATTCCACACATAAGTGATACCATATGGTATTTGTCTTTCTCTGTCTGACTTACTTCACTTAGTATGATAATCTCTAGGTCCACCCATGTTTCTGCAAGTGGCATTATTTCATTCTTTCCTATGGCTGAATAATATTCCATTGTCTATATGTACCACATCTTCTTTATCCATTCATCTGTTGATGGACATTTAGGTTGTTTCCATGTCTTGGCTATTGTAAATAGAGCTGTTATGAACATAGGGGTGTGTGTATCTTTTTGAATTAGAGTTTTGTCTAGATACATGCCCAGGAATGGGATTGCTGGATCATATGGCAACTCTATTTTTAGTTTTTTGAGGAACCTCCATACTGTTTTCCATAGTGGCTGCTGCACCACCTTACATTCCCACCAAGAGTGTAGGAGGGTCCCCTTTTCTCCACACCCTCTCTAGCTTTTATTATTTGTACACTTTTTAATGATGGCCATTCTGACTGGTGTGAGATGATAGTTTTGAATTGCACAGAAATGTAACAAGCCCCCCGGTTGATTCTCACGTTCAGTGACTTTGAGAATATTAAAATACATCCTCAGACCCTATAAGAGATGACGCAGG